AGGCATTAAATTGTGGAAGCTTGTAGATGTATTACAAGCAAAGATTGTTACCACTGAACTTTTATTTGTATTCAAGCAGTAAATATTAAACTTAAGTTTTATAAATTTAATTGAACTTTTATATTAAAGTTATTTGATTGGTTTTTATATTGTATGTTTCTGAATTTTTTCCTTAGCTTTGTGCAATCCCACACTACTTCACTTAATTTTCAAATGCTCCCCAGAGCAGAACAATCAGGTGGAACTGGAAGGGATCCCCCAAATGGGAGTACGAGATAGATTTGGGGGCTACGGATGCCCATCCAGAGATAGCTTAGCTCCACACACATTAACCATATCTATTAAAGTGGGAGTGCGGCGACAGGCGACAATGGGCGACCCTTCAGACAGCGGATAATAAATGGCGTCGCGACAGTTTCCTTCCCGAGCAACACACCGAAAAAAAACCCAAGTGAGGGAAAAAAAACTGGAAGGACTTGCCGTATCCGGAGCTAAGAAAGGTTCGTGTCTAGTTCTCGGGGGAGTGGCGGAAATAGCACCTGGGTCCACTCTCAAAGCGGGCACGCCACATAAATTCCAATGGTTCGCTTGCTTTCGGGCTTACAAGTTTGGCAAATTTGTGAAAATTACTTTTTGTTTATTGTGCTGAAAGCAGACGGGAAGGCGCTAAGCTTCGAGCTAAGGCCAAGGAAATGGAGAGTCCTGCAGGAGGAGGACTTGCCCCGCCCCCTTAAGCTTGGCCATTAACATTGAGTTGTTCCCGTCGGAGTTTTCCTTTTTCCCTCGCCCTTGTTGTTGTTTTAATAATTTGTTCCTTAAAGCTCCACCTACACATGCCTCGTAAATATCCTTGTGCGTTGTCCTTGTTCCTTTTTTTCTTTTTGTTTTTGGGGGAGCAATTGTTGTTTTCACACCATAATCATAAAAGGTACAAGCATAATTATTGTTTTTATGTCCCAGCCACTTATTGTAAAGCAGCAAATTGCCTGACCACACATAAAATTCCACCCGGAAGGATCCTACGTGGGAGTCGTCCTTTATGATGAGCCAGACCATCGCTGGGAAAATGGGAAGTCTGCGAATCTGGTGGAAGTAGTTATAGGGATAGAAAATGGCAACTTGGCTGGCGAAAATTGTAATTTTGGTCCTGTCCTGGCCGGCTAACTAATGTCCTCGCCCAGCGCTTCCTGCTCTCAGTTAGTGAATATTTATGATTGCCAGCCGGAGAGGAAGCGGAAGAATACAAGAGCATCCTCTGCACTCTTTCCTTTTCTTTGTTTCACATTCTCCAGGCTTTATTTTCGGGCGGTTCTTAGTTCTCCTGAGAGGTTTATGGCAGGAGTAAATTATAAAAGATATGAATGAGGCAACTATGCTGGAGCTTTATTGCCGCAAGAAAGGAGATGGTGAAACCTTTAAAAAAATTAAGACGTACAAACAATGCTGCTTACTCTTATTTAATAGTACAAAACGTAATGCTGCGATCATTTCGTTAAGAAATCGAATCCATCAATAAATTCCACCCCAATGAAACTCCGATTGCAGTGCTTAAAATTCTTTTACCACTCAAAAAACAAACAAACTGCGCACTCTTTTGGTCACCAACCCCCAAAACCATCGAGTTTATTTCTTCACCCCTTCGTCGAGGCTTAGAAAATCATTCAATTGTGCAGGTAAATGGACTGCAAGCGACAGTCCAAGACCTCCGACCCCGGGAGCAGACCCATAAAAAAGGGTTAAAAGTCCTGAAATGTTTCACATACAATTGCACAAACATCGCATCCAAAAAAAGAACTCTCGAATGGAAAGTGAAAGAAAAAAGAAAGGCGAAAGAACGCAAAAAAAGGTTGCCACGTCGCGGTCAGACTTAATCACTTTTATCCGGACAGGCCTTCGATTATTCGTAATCCTTTTAAATGCCCCTCTCGGGCAGATTTATTAGCTGCACGTGATAGTGGTATCCTTCGCCGAAAAAAAATAATGGCCACGAAAATCATCAAAATCCACGCCCGAGCTCTCTTAATGCTAATTTATGGACGGGCTGAGTTCGCATGAGGAGCGCAACTTATTCATGAGCTGCCTGAAATATGGTTCCATTTAAATGTGTGTACACAAGTGTATATTTCCTTTGGTGCATTTGCAAATCGTTGGGGGAATTATAAACTTTGGCCGCGGTATGCGGCAGCGTCAGCGGAAAAACCATTTTAATTAGTAAAAATCCTCTCCCGCCAACGTTGCGTATACGTAATATTTATTTGGGCACGGTCAAAAATTTGATGAAAATCGGGGTGGGCTAATGGATAGGGAATAATGTATGTTATGGAAACGAAAAAATATATATAATTATGATACAAATTTGGTGGTTCTTTATTAAAAATAATTGTTTTCCAACTTTTTTTTTGTAAAAATGTTGGATAAACATAAAGTTTATTGATGCAATTGGAAAATCTTTCAAGCTTATTAGTTGATCTATGAATATAAAATAAAAATTAGGTTCCATCTGTAAATGGTAGTAATTTGGATAACATTTTCATTAAAACGAAACCCCTCCTCAAAAGATAAATTAGAGTAAGATGGAAAAAAATTTGGCAAAATTCTGGCAAAACTTTCCAACAGTTTTAAACAATAAAAAGCAAATGGCGCTGGATAGAACTTGCCACCGCTCTGCCACGCCCCCCGCCCCTCATTTTGGGTGTGGAGGGAACCGCACATTAGTAGTTAGTGCAAGCAGGCGGTGTTCTAACTTTTGAATAAATACAATAAGAGGCGGCGGGGCAGAGGTTCTCCCTGGGCGCCACTTTAGACAATGAAGCGTATAATGCTAAATATCGCTCTGGCAACCGCATCCAGCTGTCGTCCCCCATCGTCCTTCGTCCCTCGTCCTTTTGCCCGCTCACGGTGTCTCTTCCACCAACTATTCTGAATAATTTTGTGCGCTGCGCGGTTTGGCAACAATTGCTTTCATTATGGAACATTTTTTGTTTGAATCGAGGAGGAGGAGATGGGCAATGTGGAGCTCGGGGGGCTTGGAAGTGGTTGGCTCCACCTTGGGAAACCCCTTGATGTTGTTACATCTACTCCTGCTGCTGCGGTTGGAGCTCTGTTGTTGTTTGTGCCTGTGTATTCTGTATTTTGTATCCTGCGGCCGCAGATACATTATCCAAAATTTGCATAAAATAAATAAATTAAGTATGCCAGACATGCGGTGCGCCGTTGGTCGCCAGGAACAGCCGGAGTTGTTGAGCTGGCCAAGTACACTGGAAGAAATAAAGGGCTTTTATCAATTATATAAACAGGTTAATTAAAGCTTTGGAAAAAAAGAAGCCATGAATAAAATTATATATCTTATGATGGGTATTAAGTCAGCTGGTTATTTAAACATATATTTAAAATATTTTTTATTTAAATATATAAATGGTTATTTAAAATATTTTTAAATAATGATGTTATGCAACTTTATCTAAACTTATACTCTTTTAATAGAATAAATATGCTCACACTTAAATATTTTCTTTCACTTTACCCTGCTGGTTTTCCCCAGTGTATTCGATCTTGCTTGATTCCTTCACTTGGCCATTCAAAGTTTTCATTTTATTATCACGCCGAACTAGAGAGCGGGTGGTGAAATTGGGGTCCCAAAGGGGGAGTATTTCGAGAGGGGGAGCCCGATGCCGTCCCTTCGAACAGCTGCAGCATTTTTGAAGTTGTCCAGGAGTCCAGGATACTCGCTTCTCTCCCGCTTCCCGGGAAACGTGGCAAAAGGCAGCCAGGATGCGCTACGTTGCGTTTGCTTGTCATGCTCCGTTGCGTGATTTTTGTCCACCCCCTGTCCTTGTCCTCGTTTCCCCCACCTCACACCACCCACAACCCACCACCCACTCCTTTATGTCCCCCCGCCCACTTGGCTGCTTCATGCACGAGTTGTTGTCCTGGCTGCTGCTTTTTGGCATCCGCTGCCTCATAGAGCACATGGCCGTAGTCTGCGGCATTAACTTCATGCCGCTTCATTTTGTTGGCCAGCTTTTTTTGAGTTTTTTCTTTCTGTTTTGGTTTTGTTGAAGCTTTGGCTGCCTGAAATGGCCGCTACAAAATTGGTTCGTTTGGTCGCCGAAGGCACTTAAATTTCCCTCCAGCGGCATTTGTTTTTGCTGCCGTTTTTCGGGGGGTCCGCTGATGTTGATGGTGATGAGGATGGTGTTGTGGCGTTTGTGATGGCGGTGGGTTTGTTGTAGTTCAATTTGTGCGCTGCGGTTTAATGAAATTTAGTTGTTAGTTGCTGCACGTTTAGCTTTGCATAGATCCCCATGCCTTTTCCCCCCCTTCACCCGCTCCCATCGTTTTAGATGGTTGATGGCGAGGCGAGCAGCCGAAAAGCCCAACGACCAATTTTCGAACGGGGCGTATACGTGATGTGGAATTTGTGTATGTTAAAGGGTAATTGTTGTGGGAAATGGGTCTACTGTGAAGATATGGCGTCGCCGCGGGGGAAAATTGGTCAGAGTTTGCTCTTTTGGAGCTGATTGAAAGGATTGTGATATATGGGCGGGGTGCTCTGTTTAATACGTGATGTGGGCCCAAAACTAATGGGAGAATATTTACCATAAGATGTATTAGTAGGGAAACATCTTGACTCACATTGAATAGTTAATTTTTATTTCAGTTAATTAAGTTAAGCATTCTTATGTATATCAGAATCTATGAATTTAATTTCACACTTTCTTGTCATTCAAAATTTTAGTAAGCAGCTTTATATTTAAGCGGAAATACTGAATTCGTATCAAATATTTATATGTCGAAATCGCTATACTTACATTATTTTTTTTCATTTTACATACTCCAAATGCTTTGCATATTTTTGGGGATTTTTTGTACAGCTATTTTTTATGAATAAATAAATAAATTCAACTCGAGGAACACATTCACAGTTTATTATCACAATAGCAAAATTATTAAAAAAAATATGTACATCATTTAAAGCATAGCGTTTAAATATCTTTGATTTAGGGAACAACTAAATTCTGTTTGGAAATGCTGGTGGCCGGAATCGATTCGGTGGGTTCAGTCGATGTTTCCACAGCAGAAGTTTGAGTATTTGGAACTACCATTTGGCGTTTTTTCAGTAACTCCATTTCAAGTCGACCAAAAGGAACCTCAACGAAAAGATGCATAAACAAGGATACCATAATGGTAATGCCAAAGTCTGACCAAAAGCGGAGAATCTAGAAATGAAATAAAATTATAATTTATATCATGGAAAAAATTAATAATCCTGCTTTACTTACAGCATCGTAATCCGAAAAATGGAGACTTGTCTTGGTGCGCCCAATGTGAACCGTTTCCACCAGTAAATGCCATATGTAGAGGCAGTAGGACAACTTGGAAATTGGCTGCCAGAAGGACCAACTAAGTAGATCGTTTATAATGGGAGCCAAACCATTCTGACAAGCCCAAATAATCCAGCACAAGGCCAAAGGCCAGGCGATGCGACTGCAGCACAAATAGAAAGCGCCAGCCAGTGGGGTAATGGGCTCCACTCCTTCCTGAGTGAAAGGATACACAGCGAAGATCACTGTGGCAAACAGGGAAAGACTCAGAATCCACAGCAACAAAGCCACCAACTTGGGCAGACGGGTCTTTCTTCCTCCCTGATGATGCAAAAAGTAACCAAAAAGCAGTCCAATCAACCAAGGAGTTGCTCTGGCGTGAGTTGGGTAGTAGATCATCCGCATTTCGGTGCTATCACCACCAAGGTTTCTGTAAAAAAAATAACATTTTGATGAGCACGGGTATTCAGTTTGCCATTATATATTTCACAGTGTATTAAAATGCTTTTTAGTGGCTATTTAATGTAACATGATTTAAATCTCACCCATGACGATCGAAGACCTGCAGATTGTTCAGCATAACTATACTGAAAACACAGCCGAACAGCAAACAGATCAAAAGGACAATGCCGCCCACAGCCATTTTGCCCCATTTGTAGAGGGCAATCAGCAGAAGTGGCGAGATAATATACAGTTGCATGTCGACGGCCAGATACCAAGTATGGCCCAAGCACTGGAATAACCAAATTGCGATTAGATTATGTCTAGAAGTTTCGGATTTTTGGGTGTGGCGAAATACTTACCATCCTGCCAGGAGCGGCATAATTCTGAACGTAGAGCAGAGTTGCCCACCAGGAATCTTTACACAGTTCCGTTGAGCCGGTGAACTGATTCCACAAAGGACCGCTGTCCAATCGCTTGAAAATTGTCATGAATATAAGGATTGCCAGGAACAAAACGGGGGTCAAGCGCACCAGGCGATGCAGGTACATCAGTGGCACATTAAGGCGACCTTTGGTGCTAAAAAAAATAATATTATTTACTAATAAAATATCAATAATTAAACTCTTAATTACCGATCGAGCTCTCGAAGGGAGGTTAAAACCAAAAGCAGACCGCTGAGTAGAAAGAATGTATCCACTGAGGTCGATCCACTTTGCATAACCATGGAAAAAGGCGTCTGAGCCCAGGCCACAATATCATAGGCATTAATGTTGGGGGCCAACAGCAGGAACATATAGCCATGGCCAAGAATAATCCAGATGATGGTCAGGCAGCGAATTCCATTCAAACAGGGAATCACACGTGGCGAGGGAGAATTGGTGGTTTTGAGCAACTGGGGTAAGCTTTTTACATAGCGAGAAGGTGCATAGATAGTTTACAGAAACTGTAAGAGAAAATAAAATAATTCATTTAGAAATAATACTAGAATAAATATGTATTTACCTTCATTGTAGTCCAAAATAGTGGCCAACAGAACTACAGCACATAACAGGATAAGAACACATCTGAAAAATGAAATGCATTTATTATTAGTTTATGCAATGGAAAAATATAAATTAAAGATGGCTCATAATAACAGCATAATCATTAATGTTTGAATTTGACCTTGGAAATGACGCATTCTACAAACTAATGCCATTGGCCTTAAAAACGAGTCTAACGCAAACAAACAACCAGTCAGTCCAGTGCATATTGCGTAAGTTTCGAGTAAACAAAGGCCGGGAGAAACGATCTATTACCCCCTTTTATACTACAATCAAAAATCACTCCCACATTTTTTACTTACATCGCAAACCAGTCTAGTCCACCCAAGGGTTCTCTGTGGGCCAAAGCGCAATCCTGTTCCTGCACCAGAAGAGCTTCGGTCGGATTCTGGCCAAACATTTCCTGAAGATGTCCTTGTAGCCAACGGTTGAGTTGTTCAGCCGAGCAGGTTGCGGGAATACAAGTTCCAATGCTTAAAGTGAGGGCATCTGCACCGGCGGCTTCCAGGAGCAAACTCTCAAATTGCATGTGGCTCAAACAGTACTTGGCACCAGCAGTAATGGTAATACCATTTCCCAAACTTTTATTCAAGTCCAAACTCAGGCAGGATTCGTAGTTGCCCATGTCCGCAAAGTGGCCATAAAGCAAACCCTGTGGGAACTTTCCCCAGGCATCAAAAACTGCAAAAAGCATTTAAAAAATATTAAGTAAATATTTAATTACTTTTTTAAACCATAAAAACTCACCTCGAAGAGCTGGCAAGGATTTGTTCTCGGCTCCTTTGAGAAGCAGGCGAACCTGGGTCAAACAGGATGCCTCCTCTGCCGTCGAAGATTGGTTGTCATTTAGAGCCTGCTGCAGCACTTGGTAGCCAAAGTTACTCGACTGCATCCAAGTGAGCAGATCCTTAGAGGTGTAACCATTCACAGCAGGTAATCCTTGGCCAAGGATCAGAAGGGGGATCAGGATCATCCCGATCCCGATCCCGATCGATTTAGGAAGCGATGAGCTCGAGCTGCGCAGTTGCCGGATTGCCATTTCTGTGTGCGACGGCCATGACGATGCGGTGATATTTATACTGGGCTAGTAAGACTCTTACTCTGGCCCAAACGCCGGTCGGATGATATGGCTATTTCTAATCGGAGAGGAGGAGGAGCTCGCTCTTAACCACTGCATTCAGTCGTGCACTAGCAACCGATTGATAACCACATTCTTTCGGGGTTTAAAAGAGCTAACACTTTCCAGGGTATCTGAGGAGCCTGCCCATTTTGCAGTTTTGCTAGCTTGTTTATGATAACTCGGTAACAAGTGTGCTGCGATCAGTGCGACGATCGCAAACAAATCGGTTCAATGACCGATATAGCAGCCAAATTAGATTCAATGCCACACATGATGGGGGATGTCCGCTGCGATGACGCTGAAATCGCCGAGCAACTACTAATAACTTTTTCTCAGCTCTCCCGTGATTAAATTGCAGCATCACGTATTCATTGGAGTGAGTCCACTACGATACAGAATGGACAGGGAACTCCCCCGGCCCATTGACGGGTTAACACACCTGACGATTGGGCCAATTACGTCAGTTTGCCTGATACTTTTTCACAAATGGGTCAACGTCCGATAGCAACGGGCAGATCGGTTGGTGATATAGAGGCACTACTACTGTGTAATCTCAACCGATTCGTCACTAGTTTAAAACTACTGCTTTGAAGTGGCTCACCTTGGCAATCTACGTGCTGTTTGTAATAGTTCGGCGGTTCACGGTGGGTTCATTGAACCACCCGCCCTTGGAAAAGGGTGTTGCTGCCCAACAAACAAAACTAACGCATATTATTTTAACCTGTTGGAAATATTGCGCAATTACAGCCGCATTAATCAATAGGCGAATCAAGAGCTGAGGTATTTTTTACTCACTCAAACAGAGTGGGTATTCCCAAAAGAGTAAAACTCAACAAAAACAACGAGTTTGAGGCGGTACACTTTCACTGCCGAATCTCCGATTGCTCTTGTCACGCATTTTGCCAAAAAACGTGTTTTAGGGGCCTGGACTGAGTGATACCCAATTTATTTTTATTTTCAATAATTATGTGAATTAACGAACCCTATGATTTGATAAAATTACTTTGTGACTTCATAGACTTTACAAAAAGCAAACTTGTAAATGTGAGTTGTTTTGATTACTCATTAGTAGTAGAACAATAACGAAAACAACAAATTAAATTTGTTAGTTCCCCGAGATAATTACAAGTGCTTGTTGACAATCACTTACATAGATAACTAAAACTACGACATACCCGTTTACTGAATGGGTTTCGTGTTTACTCACACAGTAATGTGTTTAATTATTAAAAAAAAAGTTGACAGGAAAGAGCTTTGCTCAGCGAAAATAATAAGGGAATTTTTAATGATGTTTGTATACGGTTGTATGAAAATATTTGGGTCATACTCTCGCTGTTTTATACGTTATTTGCTTTCCAGCTGAACGCTTATTAAAATGTTGAGTAAATTTGCTACAATTTTAAAGTAGTTTTTGATATAGTTCTATTTAAATTCATTTTTAGCAACTTTCAAATCACTTTCCCTAACCTTTTCAACTGGATTATCAGAACATTCAAAATTTAATTAAATTCCCCTATCAGCGTGTAATTAAAACAACTTTAGTTGGTAAAGTTGCGCGGCTAAACCACAAAACAATTCCCGGAAACGACATAAACGTAATGGTAACTACGTTAATCCTGCAGCTGAATATCCTGGCACTGAAAATCCCTGGAAAAACATTTAACTCTTGCCTCGCGCTAAGTACAATGTAAACCGTTTGCCACATTCCATCCGCAAACACACAGGAAAACCGAGAGACAAAACAGCAATTCGGGGGGTGGAAAGTAGTTCACGGGGGGTTGAGGGGGTGGTGGCAAGGCGAATTTCGACACATGTTGCCGCAATAAAAATGTCAACACACACATAAAACATCTTCTAAAATGGCATTTGCAGCAGGCAGGCGAATTCCGAAAGACCAACCGGAGAAAAAATGCGAATATTTTTGAAGCATAATAAATGGAGCTCAGCGTGGGAAAGCCGGGCGTCTGAGGGGGAAACCCTGAGCTCGGGAAATCCCCATCCACACGTGCTTAAAGCTCACACACACGAACACACACACACTCCCACAATGCCGGCCATTAAACACGCATTCTTTGGCCATAGAAATTTATAGACCAGAAAGGCAAGGCGACAGTGAAAGTGTGAGAGCGAGTGAAAGAAGCAGGAAAGGCAGGGAAAGCAGGGAAAGCAGGGAAAGCGGGGAAAGCGGGAAAATGGGGTACGGAGGGATGGGTAGTGCGAAATGTGTCGCGCAACGAGTCGCGACTTTTACTTTCACTTTCGCCGGAACTTTCATTCAAGGACATGGAGCAGACAAGACCCGCCAGACTCCAAAAAGGATGTCCCGAAACCAAAAGGAAATATTTTTTTTATTTACCCTAACAGAGGGTATTGACCTGGAGTTCATACTCCCTTACTAAATGAATTTGTGTTATGAAAATAATGAAAACTTAAACCTCTTAAAAGTACTGCTGATATAAAACCTCTATCATTTCATTAAAATATTTTTTTTATTTTAAGCTGTAAATGTATCATTAAATATTTCCTTAAACTTAAGAGTGTTTTTGTACTGTACAGGGTATTCCAAAGTATAGTATTTTTCTATCTTCCTTTACAATTTTTTTTGGACAGCTAACATATTTTTAGTTTGTCAGGCGAACAGATCTGCGACCCCCCTGCTCAAAAAAAAGTGTGAGCTGAATTTAAAGGAGCAGCTAAAAATGCAGGCTGCTAGATTTCGTTCGCCCTTAATGAGATAATCTGCGCTACTCGTCGTTATTTTACGTAATTGAAGGTTCACTTACAGTGGAGCCCCCCACTTGATTACCGAAAGTGAGGGGGAGTACTGAGTGTTGGGGTCTGGTATTGGGGATGCTGGCAACTGGAAACAGACAACTGGCCGTAATGATAGTGGTGGGCCTGCAGCCTGTACGTGCGTGTAACTTTCGGGGGGATGTTCCTCCATTCCAAGCAAAGTCTTCCATCTCGTCTGCATTTTTCGGCGGAGCTCCCTGGGATGGTAATCTGCAATAAATGAGGCATGTTGGAAGATTTATTTGATTGCTTTATTTAATATTTTAGAAAAGGCAGATGTTTCGCTACCCTCTCAGCGGGATGGACTGAATTTAGGAGAGCTCCACTTGGAGTGGGTTGACTTTAGAGCTGGCGTTGAGTGGCTGACTATGAATTATGACGGATATAATGAACAATACACGCATCTGAGGGCAGAAGTGGCAAAGGTAACCTTGGCAAAAGGTGAAAAGCATTCCGAGTGTGTGTTGAAGGGAAATGATATATGATTCGGATATGAAAATTCTATGGCGATAAGTTATGGCATGTGTGCCATTGTGGAATACTGCAAGCAAAATGGTGGGAATAACTCAATTTACGAGCGGGAAAGGTGGCTCAAATATATATAATAATTAATAGCAAGAAATTTATGCGCTTTAAACGACGTTCTGTTCAACTTAACCAAAATACTTTAAGCTCTTGCTGTATATCATAATATCCGCAGTGGCTTTCAATCGGTGGATATTTTAAAATCGGTCCTGGCATTCCGAATACTACCTTAAATAAATTCGCCATCATCAATTCTGATTAATCCCAAGTCCGGCCGAGAAATCTCTGGTAGACCCAATTTGCAAGGCGGCCCCCGAAGGGCAATCCACAATTAAACGCTCCGCTCATTGCGACATCGTTTATCACTTCTCCCGGAGTCTCGGAGTCTCGGATTCTCCGATTCTCTAGGCTCTGTCCGCCATTATGGTTGCTTCATTACAGGCGATTAATTTTGATTGTTTCGAGCAGAGAGGAGCAAGAAAAAGTGCCCAATGAAGCACTGCAAAGTTTCATCCTGAGAATGCTCCTTCTGTTGTTTTACTTTTTTGTGTTCCTGTGTGGGAAAACCCGAGGAAGGGCCATATTTCACCCAACAGGAGGCGGAGTGCAGATAGGGGGAGTGGGAACTGTGACCGAAATTAAGCACCCAGAGCACAACTACACGAAAACGTAATAAAATCATAATCGTCGGATCAACACAGTCATCAGCGGTGTCACAACAGGCTACCAGGAGATGATGACAACAAAAACCAAGGACTCAGCCGGCGAAGGATGCCAAGGAGCAGCAGCGGCGAAATTGCACAAGCAATTGCCAGGCGAAACTCAACGGTAATTACAGTAATAATTCAAAAGAGATTTGCCCCCACCTCATCACAAAAAATAGTACAAAAAATCACTCCAGCCAAGGAGAAAAGCGGAGGTACGGAAAACTAAGAGACAATGAAGGCGGCGATGCATTGCCGAGGACCAAAAGTGGCAATTGCCACGGACGGAGACAAAACCGTACAGTGGGCTCAGGGCCAGGAAATCTTAATTAAATTATGTTTAAAAAGAGTAAGGCTCGAACACAGAGTGAAAAATGGAACCCATCCAAAACTTCAAAAAATCAGCTTGACCAGGAGTCGAAAAACCGATCTTTAGTAAAATATTATATATTTGATTACAAATGTTAAGAAGTATGACACTATAAGATCGGATAAGAATTGACAAAGTTATGCTGTCTGCAAGTGCGTTTTGGGTCGCCCATCTTTACAAAACCAAAAACTTTGAAAAATCTCACATGAACAGGGGTTAAAATATCGACCATATGGAAATGAACAATTTTGAATGCAGTTTCTTCAAGGATGTCATTACAAAGTAGTGAAGTAGGTATGCTACTTTGGAATCGGACTAAAATTGGCAAAGGTATGGGCTGTGAACAGTGCATGAACAGTGGTCAAAAAATCGAGCATTCCCAAAATGAAAAATTTTTTATGCACTTTTTCTAAATTTGATTACAAAAGTTTTAAACCGGATAAGAATTTGGCTGTAATGTT